CCATATCTAAGAAATAAGACAATTTTCCCAGATCAGACATTTCAAATTCCTTCATCATCAGCTCTTTGAACTTCGAAAAGTTCTCCAAGATATTTTTAGTTACTAGCAACTCACCGACATATAAGTAGATGATTGTTATATCTTATGCTACAACCTGAACATAGACACCATACTCAGATTTACATTTTACAAATCCCAATTCGATTAAGTATGAGTCGATCTTCTTGTTCCATGCCCTAGGTGCCTGCTTGAGGCCATAGAGCGCTTTACTCAGATTTGCATTTGACAAATCCCAATTCGACTAAGTATGATTCGATCTTCTTGTTCCATGCCTTAGGTGCCTGCTTGAGGCCATAGAGCGATTTGTGCAACTTATATACTTTACTCGCTTCCTTCTGAATCACAAACCCTGGAGGTTATGTTGCATAGACCTCTTCGTCTAAAGGATCATTCAGAAATGTTGATTTCACATCTAAATGAAATATCGACCAGCCTTGGTTGCATGCCAGTGCTACCACTAGTCGAACAGTCTTCAATCTTGCTACTGGAGCAAATACTTCAGAGTAGTCGAGTCCTTCTCTTTGAAGAAATCCTCGAGCTACTAATCTTTCTTTATGTCTTTCTATCGAGCCATCAACATTATGTTTCAACTTGAATACCCATTTTACTTTGATAGCTTTTGTATGTTCTGGCAATTCTACTAACTCCTATGTGTTGTTTCTTTCGATTTCCTGTAACTCTTCGACCATAGCTAACTTCCATTGTTTAGTCTTCAAAGCTTCGCTATAGTTAATTGGTTTAACACCTGAAAGTAAAGAAAAATGAATTAATTCTCCATCTGGTATGACTTCATCACCACCCACCACTTCATAATCATGAATTCTTGTTGGAATAACTCTATTTCTTTGAGGTCTTTGGCTTGTTTCAGCCACAGCCTCTTCGACTTTGACTGTGTTGGGAATGTCAGCAATTGGTTCTTCTTCGACTTCGACTGGATTCTCAATAATTCCTTCGACCTCTACTTCGTCAATTTCTTCATCAAAATCAGAACTCATCAATGGATTGTTAATTGAATTGCTAGAATTCCAATCCCAGGCAGAATTTTCATTAATCACAATATCTCTACTTAACACAATTTTCTCATTAATTGGATTTAATAGCATGTATGCACCAGTTTTATGATATCCTACCAGAATCATAGGTTCACTTTTTTCATCAAGCTTCCTTCTTCTTGCATCAAGAATATGCTTGTAACATATAGAGTCAAACACCCTCAAATGACTTACTGATGGTTGTTTGCCACTCTACACTTCTTTAGGACCTTGTTATTCAATATCTTAGTAGGACACCTATTAAAAATATAAAGTGCAGTCGAAACACCTTCTCCCCATAAATACTTTGGCAAATTCTTTTGCTTCAGCATGCATCTCGCCATATCTAATATGGTTTTGTTTCTTCTTTCGGAAATTCCATTATGTTGAGGTGTATAAGGAGCGGTTACCTCATGATCAACACCATGTTCTACATAGAAATCTTCAAACATTTTGGATGTGTATTTGCCACCTCCATCTGTTTGCATAACTTTGATCTTCTTCTCACTCTAGTTTTCGATAAGTATCTTGAATCTCTTAAAAATTTCGAATACTTCGTCCTTTCGTTTGATCAGATAAATCCACAACTTTTGACTAAACTCATCGAAAAATGAAACAAAATATTTGTTTCCACCAATTTATATTCTTCGACCGGACCACATACATCTGAATGTACCACTTTGAGTATGCAAGATGATCTCATTGACATAGTTGAAACAAAAGAATTTATGGACTGCTTTCCTACTAAAGAACCTTCACAAAGTTTTTCAGGAATCTCAAGACTTGGAATTCCAGTAACCATATATTGAGTTATCAGTTAATTGAGTGATCAAAAATTCAAATGTCCAAACCTCAAATTCCACAACCAACTATCCTTGTGGTTAACAATAGTTTTCAAACATTAAACTTCAGTCGAACTGATCATAGTCATAAATGTCTTGTTCTTTGACAACGGGGATTTTAAGACCAAATTGTTGTTGGTGTCAAACAATTTCAAAACTCCATCTTTCATGACAAATGAGAAACCTTTTTTGACTAGTTGTCCAACACTTAGCAAGTTGCACTATATTCCAGGTGCATAAAGCACATATTTGATCATAGCTTTCCCTCCATTACTCATTTGAAAGATTATATTTCCAGTACCTTCTGCTTGCAACAAACTATTATCAGCAAGTTTTACCTTTCTCTTCTTCGACTCGTCAAAATCTGCCAACCACTTCGTTCGACCAGTCATGTGGTTTGAGCAGCCTGAGTCGAGAAACCCGATTTTGGATTCGACATGGTTATCTGCAACTGCGGCCATAACCACCATACCACCTTCAGAATCATTTGAATCTTAGTGTGTTAGGTTCACTCCTCCGTTCTTTCCTGTCAATCCCTTGTCTTTTCTCTACCAACAATTCTTGGCTATGTGACCCCACTTTTCACAGTTATAGCACTGCACACCTTTTTTATCTTCTTTGCCCTTTCAATAGTTTTCTCCTCCTCTTTTCGAGGATTCAGAAGCTCCATCTTCGACCTGATGTTTGTGAGGTTTCGACCAAGACTTCTTTCTCTGAGTCTTGTCGAACTTGCCTTCGAATTTGTTGGAACCACCATCCTTTTTCCATAGCTGAGCTTACAGAGCCTGTATCAATTCTTACACTCCTTTCCTTTCGAAAATCCTCATCTCATGCGCCTCCAACGAACCAACCAAATCTTCCACTTTAGTGGTTTCAAGATTGTTGGATTCTTAGCTATGATAGCATGTTCAAAGGGAGAGGTTAACATTCTCATTACCTTCTTAATTATCATCTTATCAGTTATGGTTTCACCATTACCCTTCATGAGATGGACGAGTTTTTGAACCTTCGACACATATTCTGCAACTTTTTTTTATCTTTTTCCATCGACAACAACTCATATTATCGACGCAAGTTTGTAACTTGAGATCCTTGACTTTCTCACCTCATTCGTAAAACTTCACCAGAATATCGCATGCCTCCTTCGTTGTTTCAGCATGAGAGCTTTTTTCAAAATTAGAAGCATCGACCGGTGTCTGAATGCAATAAGCAGTCTTGCAATCTTTCTTCTTGACTTTGTTGTGGGCTTTTTTCTGTTCGTCAGTTGCATTTGCAGTCAACACAGGAACGTCGTCGGTAACCACTTTTATGGTTTCATGGAAGTCAAACAAGGATTGCATCTGTTTTTTCCATCAGATCCAATTCTTGCTGTCAAGCATTGGAAGAGAATTCATAATGCCCTTATCATTAGCCATCTTCGTAGCGGTTGATTCACTTTTCCTAGAAACACGATCTCTGACGTGAAATTCTTGAAAACTCGATCAAGAACAATAACCAAAAGCTCTTATACCAATTTGTGTGTGAGACACTTTTAGTGAGGAGAGAATAATAAAGAAAATAAGGATTTGTATTGTTCAATTGTACAAATAATGATACATACTAGGACTATTGATATACAATTCTAATTGGGTTTGGTCTACACAACTTGAATTATATTTAAATATTAAATTTAATCAAATCTAATATAATATAATATTTTAACAAATCTAATTTAATATTTCAAGAGTTATATCATGGATGACATTTGAAAAGGGAAAAATATGATGATATATACCTGTTACAGATGTAAACTCCACATAATCCTAATTCAGTCTCACATACAAGATTTTTCTCAACTTAAAAGCCAGCAAAAAATATGATGATATATACTTGTTATAGATGTAAACTCCACATAATCTTAATTCACTCTCACATACAAGATTTTTCTCTGCTTAAAGCCTTCAAGGCCAGCCTTTGAAAGAGTAGTTTGATTTACAAAAGTAGGTTTAACACAAGAAAGAGAAAAGAGTGACACTGCAACATATAGCAATGTGTATCGAAGAATAAGGTTGTGGTTTAGTGTAAAAAATAGCTGAAAACCAAGGTCTATTGAAGAAGGTAGTGGTTTTATAATACTAAGTTTTACATCTTTTAAATTCGATTTAATTTTATTGTATATATATAGCATTCACAAACAAAATAGACGATAAATTTGTGGGCTGCAAAATGGACTTTTTGCCTAATTAACATATTTTTAAAATTTATTAAATAATTTCCTATGAATTTTGAATTTCTAAAAAAATTTAAGCATAATTAGTCTTAAAATCTCTTAAATTAATTTAATGTTTAACTTTATTCCCTCAACTAAAAAATATTACATATTGATCCCTTAAAAATTATTCTATTATACAAAAATATTCTTGCCGTTAAAAATTCTAAAAAAAAAAATGTTAATTTTGAATATGTGGCGTGACATGCAAGTATCAGTTAATATATATATATATATATATATATATATATATATATATATATATATATATATATATATATATATATATATATATATATATATATATATATATATATATATATATTTTCATTGGTTAAGCCCCACCACCACCACTCGCAAAATGTTAATTATGCGTAAAAAAATAACAACTATCTTCTGCAATTATACTGGCCATGTAACTCCAGAAAACACAACAAGTTGAACCATATCATCATAATGTAATAAAACTAATTCAACTGTTAAGCTTAATTTCATAGACATATATACCCAGAAAAATATTCCATTTGATATATAAAAAAGATGCACAACATGCAAAGTATAAGGGAAACTTGAGAAAAGTTACAAGGAATACCAATTCCGAAATTAAAACCAATAAAAATACATAGAAAATTACTAACTATAACAATATCAACCACTAAAAAGGAGGATCAAAATCACAACTATAAATTAGAAATTAAAAAAAAAAATGAACATCAAAGATATATCTCTCCATTCCAAGAACATTTGTAGGAGTACTGAAACCACAAAACACATTTAATAGAGATTGAAACCACCCATCTTTTTATTGTTAAAATTGTTTCAATAGTTATTGTCACCAAAGTTTCCATTGAAACTTTCCATAGGTCTTCCATTGTTGTTGTCTTCATTGATGTTCGAAGGTATTGACATAGTCGTGCCACTTCCATCATTGGTAGGGATACCATTAAAACCTTTTAAATCACCTTGAGGAAATAAATTTGATTGATGATTCTCACCATTGCCCGAGTAATTTTCGCCATTAAAACCTCCATTGTTTCCCTCATTAAACACTCTCGAAGTACTTCCACCATTAAAACCATCAAATTTTCCTTGAGGAAAAAACTCATCAACCCTAACCCTAGGATTTGCGTATGGTGGTATTCCCATGCTTCTATCAATGCTGTTAAGAAAAACTCCAAAATTCTCTCTAGGGAACATCGTATCACCACCACCAACACTAGGGTTTGCTTGTATTGCTATTCCTAACTTGTTGTTAGGGAAGCCTTCTGAATTTCCTTGTGGGATACCGTTGCCACTATTGTTAAAACCTTCAAAATTTTCATGTGGTAGTGGCCCTATGCTACTACCAACATTGTTATCAAAATCAGTTACCATTCGATCGCTTTGGTAAACCAAATCTAACAATGGTTGTTGGTTCAAACTTTGTTCATTTGTGTTTATCTCATAATCTGCCCCATTGTTATCATCTAAAGGACAAGACATTGAAGGAAGTGGTGGTGGAGGAGGAAAATAGTACTCTTCTTTTTGACTAAATATCTTATACTTTTTCAGCATAAACCTAATCAAACGATTCAACACACTAGGTTCAAAATCACTTAAAGGCTTACCTTCATTCTCAATTTGATACATGTAAGATCCCATTAGTCTATCTTCATTATCTTCCTTCATCTTGTCAACGGTTGCTTGAAGTCTTTCACCTTTATCCTTCAAAAAAGATAATTGATCAGTCACATTTTTAAATCGTAAACATTCTGACATCGACTCTAATTTATGTATTAGTCTTTCAGCTACATCACGAGATGGCCACATTACAGGTGTTCTATCACCTGGACCAAACACAATCGCACATGCCTCAAGATCACAAAGGGTTGTCACTTGATTCATTTTAGTGAACAACCCTTTCAATCTTGTCTTATAACATATTTTTCTCTGACTAAAATTCTCAATCAATTTGGATGTGATCTTCCTTTTTCTGATTCTTGCCATGACTTCTATTAGAATTTTTTTTTTTTTTTGTATATTTTTTTCTACAACATATGTCAACATAAAATGAGATGATATGTATTTATAAATAGGATATATAACTAAAGTATCCGGAAGAAATTGAAAAGTAAATAAAATAAAATAAAGAGGAAATTAATGCTTTGCTAAAGGGAAATTTCAATAATTATTTGTCCAATTAAAGTACTTTTTTCTAAACCAAAAATTATATTATATTGAATAGAAAATAAATGTAAAAGATTATTAATGTTTGACTACAAAATATATGATTAAAAAAAGACTTATTGAGGATTATAAAATAGAGTAATGTGAACTTTTCAATTCTTTTGAATATTTTAAAATTAAATATAACTTTTTTTTATTATTAAGATAAATACAAACCTTTTAACATTGGAAATTGTAACTTAAACGTTTAATGATAGTTGAATAAAATATATTTTCTTTTTATTGTAGAATGCATCATAGTTATTGTAAAAAAAGCATCATATTTTTTGACTTTTGGAGTAACGAAATTATTTTTTTAATACTTTTTCATCCTTAATTGTTGAATTGTCCATGATATGTTAGTTAAGTGACAAGAGTTTAACTTTTATAATTTTTAATGGATAAATTATTGCATATGAGATTATTGTAAATAGGTCATTAGTGTCAGAAATAATTTTTCATCCTCCAATTTAATATTTTAAAAAAACAGGTGTTTGTTTTTTTTTTCAAAATACTAACATTGAGATAAAAAGCATGAAATTATCTCAAATTAAATATTATATTTTTAAAAAGAATTTAAAAATGAAAAATTAATTTAGTCATTGATTAAATTTTATTAATCATGATTCATATTTTTTAATAATATATATATTTTTAAAATTAATTAATTTTGATAAAGTATGTCTATACAGTACTAAGTCTGATATAAATTTAATACTATAATCATAAGAGATAAGAGTGAGAATAAATTAGATTGACCGTCAAATTTATTTAAAATTTGATTTGGTCAATCTCGTTTAATAAAAGGCCAGATATAAACATTTTAAAAAGACCTATTAATTTAAATAGATTAGATTAAGACTGATAAAAAAGTTTATTAGATCCATTAACATAACGTATGTGTAAATTATATATTGGCTTAAATGAATATTTGTTCTTCTTATTTTTAAGTTTTTTAAATTTTAGTTTTTCCATTTAAAAAAAAATTAATTTTAAATTTTATTTTATTTTAGATTTGCATAGTCTCTCCAATTTTGCATATAATGATATTAATTATTGAAATAAAAAAATTATTTTTAAAATTAATTATTCTTAATACTTAAAAAAAAAATATTTTAGGCCTAGTCCTTTTGGCGCACATTGTCACTTTTAATTCATAAAATAGCTTTATAAATAGTAATTTTTTTAAAAAAGAATCAATGTGTGACATTTTTGATTCACTATGTCAAAGAAGTACATGGACAACGTTTTTTTTAATCGTAGACAGCGCTTTAAAGCGCTGTCTAAACTAGCGCTTTTATAAGTAAATACAACGCTTTGGATTAATGTAAAAGCGTTGCTATATGTCCCATTTAGGTAGCACTTTTACTTTAAAAGCGCTTTCTTATGCACCCTTTTAGCAGCGCTTTCTCTTTAGAGAGCGCTTTGGTAAGTATTCATTTAGCAGCGCTTTCTCTTTAGACAGTGCTTTTGGTTATCTTTTAGGTATCGCTTTAGGCAGCACTTTTCTTTAAAAGCGCTGTCTGTTCCCCACTTTAGGCAGCGCTTTTCCATTTTAGGCAGCGGTTTTTCCTACTTTAGGCAACGCTTTTTTCCCGCTTTAGACATCACTTTTCTCATTAAGCGCTGTCTAATATTCACAAATTTTTTTTAAATATTAGACTTATTTTCACTTACAGAAAACGCTGTCTAATATCTACAATAAATTTTCACCATATTTTACACTAGGTTTTCACCATATTTTGCACTAGATTGATAGCTTCAATCTAATAAATATGCACCAAATTTACATATACAAAAAATTTATATATATATATATATATATAACAACAACTTGAAAATTCTAAAATTTTAAATTGATGTTTAATCTACATATTACTATCTTCGAGAATTTGTAAAAAACAACAACAATGAACTTGTTAGCTCCATCTTCTACATTTGCACCTATAACCTGAAACAAAATCAAAAGATCAAAATTCATACCATGATAAAACAAAACTTTATTCGAATTTGTACTTAAAACTCGAAAGTTATACTCAAAATTCTCATCAATGAAAGAAAGACAATATATCTTATAAAATTCTCAACTGCATAATGAATTGACGTCATTCCTCCATAAGTTCATCCAATTGATCTTTTGAGTAATGAGCACAATTGAATTTGTCAAAGTACTACATAATAATATAACATAGTATGTGATTTAGTTAAAACACTATGTTATTTTATGAGAAATATTAAAATAATTCCTAAGTTAGAAATTTATACCGTGGATGGAATCTCTATTCGATCCAAAAGAAGCGTTTCTTTCATAAACCTCATGATGAAATAACCGCAATCTATACCATTACATTGACGAGGACACTACACATGGAAAGAAAATAAAGACATATATCAGGATATACCCCTTAACTTGTTTTATCAAGTATCATCACTAATATAATCAAAATTGTGAAAATATACTTGCACTTTGATCCACGTAATGTTGTTGGCTCTACTCTTTGGTACTTGAATACCTCTTTGTGATCGAAAAGCTTGTAGAACAATCTCACATAGATAAATAAATATACACACGGATATTTAGAACAATCTCACTTACGTATCAAGCATCTTCTTCAAATTTGGGTATGTTGTCTAATCATTGTATAACGAATCTAGATAGTATACAATTTCTCTTACAGAATTAATCGCAAGCAACAACTAATGTCTAATGTAAAATTAAACAAATGTTAGATGGAAAGTTTCTCCACAACGTCAAAAAATTAAAAATTATAATAGATAAGTTAGGATGAAAATCTAACCCGTTGCTAGTATTATATGGTAAAAAGAATAATTTTTCTGTATCTTTGTTGGTCACAAATAAACCGAATACATACGATATGACATCATCTGGTTTTGTTACAATTAACCCTGCATTAACGGTGTTGTGAGCTAAGAAAGCGAATCTTTCTTCCAATCCATGCGGGCGCATCACTTTGTCATAGAGAAACCATAAATTAAAACATCATTAAAATTAGACTATATTCATTGAAATGAGTAAATAAATTGTTCATTTAATTAAACAAAGTTTATCAGAGTATACCTGATGTATGTATCGATAACACCGAGGCCTAAACTCAAATATTGAAAAAATTGATCAATATCTTCTCTACCAATTGCTTCCATGTATTCATAACCAAAAATGTCTGCCTTCATAGGTCTAAGACGAGTACCACCAATTGAAATATCTATTATTAGTATATATGTCTGAAGGCACGACATATACTGAGAAGTAGGTTTTTTGCTAGTCGCGGTCTTCTTACCCCTACTGACTTGTTCAATCTCTTTAGCATGCACCTAAATATCATATAATTAGTTAGGTGAAGTATAAGATCATTCTATGCATAAATATCATATAATTGTGTTATATCTCTTTTTTTGATGCAACTGACTCGGTTTGCCGCATAATCTCCCTATCTTTTGATTTGGGTTTTGTAGGAGTCTAACAATACCATGTAAAAAAATATACGTAAAATGCTCGTAAAAACTTTGAATACTCAAAGGTTCATAACGGTTTTAAGCATACCTCATCACCTACGCGAATGAGATTTGACGACCATGCAACATACGCACCTACTGCCTCTCCCACCAATGTTGCATCTGAAATATCGTCGGTAATAACTCACCCCCCTCTAAAGAAATATCAATTGATATCTTCAAATATCCAGCAGGGAGCGGTTTATGGTGAAGTACTTCTCCCAAAGTATTATGCACTTTTCCTTTACTGACCATCGGATAAGTCGGTGACGATAAATAGAGTTGACAGGGTGAAATGCCCTAAAACCAATAATAAATATGATATATATATATATATATATATATATATATATATATATATATATATATATATATATATATATATATATATATATATATATATATATATATATATATATATATATATATATCAATTAAATAAATTACACTAATTTAATTTCATAAAGGTATATATAATTACCTCGAGAATATTCGGTTAAACATTATAATTGGCACTAGCTTTGTCACTAGTATCTTTAAAACTTGAAGCTTCCCTTTCTGATTGATCTCTTTCTTTTTCCTTTCTCAATTCACGAACTTCAGCTTCTAATGCTTGCAACTTTGTCTGCAGTTCTTTATTACTAGGAGATTTTGTCTTTGGATTTTTCTTTTTCAAGGATGTTGGACTGACCCCATGTCCCATACCCCTCACCCGACCAGAATACTCACGAACATCTAATGCTCGACTAAGTATGCTCCTGCAATCATTGTAGTATCTGGAGATATAGACTAAGACAGATTCTCCTGAAATTCATATGAATATCGAAAAAGCATGAATATTATATGTTAATAAATTTTTGATTTAATTAAACAATTAATGTTATACTTACACATTTCTCAAAAATTTGTTGAACCTCTTCTTTAACAACTTCATCCTTACCCACACGGGCAGCCTTCCACAAAACATGTTTCGGAACAGATGTTTCAGAACTATTCTCCTCTTTTAACTACACATTAAGACAAAAAAATAAGATCAATTATAACTCATGATGAACAAGTATATTATTGCAATTTATAGATACTTACTATTTTTTGTTGTAAGTGTGCATATCTCGTACGCCCTTCTTTGTATGGATACGCGGGACTTGATGCTCGTTGGCGATTTACGGCACTCGTATTTTGAAATTTTTTAGTTCTTCATTTGTCTTTAAAAGTGTCCCATTCTTCTGGTGAAATCAAGTCTGTATATTTACTTGGACGCTCGACAT